CGATTGACTTGTTTTTCTTTCATGATAGGTGCTATTTATGATATCAAGTGAGCCCGCTCCAATGCTTGAGGACAAGGAAAAATGGTAATCTTATCAATTTATGAATTTGGCTGTAGATTCTAATATCAGTAGAAAGAACTCGTACTTTAAGAGAGAATCAGGTTCTATGATACGATATTTTCAGTTAAGGCTGGAATAGGATTTCCTGTAGTTAACACCAAAGTTAGGGTTTATGACTTGCTTTAGGGTTTATTACCTGCTTATTTAAACTTACATTTAAAATGTCAACAGGAAAGAATTAGTTCTTTATTCTTTTTCACCTTCTTTAGGTCTCTTCTTTTCCATGATTTTGTTGCCAAATGCTTGACTAAAGATCCACGCACACGTCCTTCTGCACCAGAGATGTTAAAGGTATGTGCCTCATTTTAAGGTATCATATCGTGAAACCGGCTTCTGCACCCCTCCCTTTCTCCTCTATACTATGATTGCATTGGTTCTTTCTATGAAGTCCAAGTTTTGTAGGTTGTATTTTGTTAGCATCAGATTTTGTTGTGATATTCTCCTAGCTGCATGCTTGATATGTTAACTTTGACCAATTGAAGTTTTTTATTTGCTTGATGATTATCTAATGTATGCCCAAGGTTGTTAAGTAGTAAAATTATGAAGCCACTTAGTTTTGATAACAATACTCAATTTGACGCAATGACTATTTCACAAGAACATCTATCCAGAAGATTAGAGAGAATACGATCTATTGAAGATTGACCATTGAAGAATCAGACGATATTACTCCTGCAATCACTGATTGCAGTTGGAAGATTTCTTGTGAATGAATAACTGGAACTGAACAGATATGGAAGTGGTTTACAAATGAGATGAATGAATAACTGGAACCGAACAGATATGGAAGTGGTTTACAAATGAGAGCTTGATTGAATGAGGAGTCAGTTTTTGTGAAAGCTCATGAGCAATCTTTTCCTTAAAACAAATGTGAGAATAATCAGAGTAGAGATAGGAATTTAGATTTTTTAAACCAAGACTGTATTGTATCAAATTTAAATATTTTTTTCTCGTGCAAAGAAAACTGAATTTGAATTATGAATTTGGACAACAGCACAAATTTCTTGAGAAAAGCAACTTGGGTGCTTCAAAGATGCTACCAAAGATAGAAAAGGCAAAGAAGATTAGAGCAGCAATGGATGCACAAGTACAAAGTCAACTTGCAGAGACCGAGTTATCTCCTGTCAGTGTACGATCAAAACATTTCTTAATTTTTCTCATATCCCTGATGATGTAATGGTTTGTTATAACTTGTTTTTAAAATTCAAATAGCAAACAGCTCAAGGAAGGATTGATTTTACTAGTGAAAATTATGGAGGTACTGTTCCTTCAAAACCTCAAAGGGTTCCAACTTATGGAGCACAAGATGAAGTTCAAGAAGGTGGTCCTGTAGGTAAGCCTCAGATAGCCCTTGGTGCAGGTACTTGAATGTTGTTCCTTTGATGCTATGCTTTGTTCTATTTTTGCAGTTCTTACTGTGCAGATCTTAGTTGCATGACAATGATAACTTTCATCATTTATTGTTAGGATGAATTTGTTGTAAATATTCTATGTCAGTAGCTCTTAATCTAATTTTTTTCTAAATCAATTGCTTATATATATTGAAAATTTTCCATTTTCCCTTTTATTTGCTAGTAGTTAATGTTTTGAAGTTTGTTTTCTATTGTATCATTGAACAGTTAAACTGACTAAACTCAATGTTTTAAATATCGGTCAATAAACCGATATTATCAGCGATTATTAGTTTTGGGTACCTTCTGCTATGATAAGTTCGATTCTAAATCGGTTATCATTTTTGGATGTTTATCGCCAATAATGCGGCGATAAAGTGAGTTATCGGTCGATATTGTCGGCCCAAAATTGGAATTATAGGCCTTTGGTTTGAGTTTTGATTTCGGGCAACAGACACCTATTCAATGCACTTTAAATCTGACCCGACCCGAGTTTCTACCATTGGTTAGTGACCCTAAACATAATTATTTACATTTTAATATGTTTATATTTCATTAAGTATGGTTATGTTACATTTTAGAATATTATATTATATATATCACCATTCGGTAATGTCACTCCGATAAATACTACTTATCCCTGATATATCCCTGATATCCACTATCTGATAAAGATTTTGACAGTCCGATAAATCCTTGATAACCGATATTTAAAACATTGACTAAACTGCATAAAATGTTTATCTGGACTAAGGTTAGACCCCCCCTATTCAAGACTTTTAGACCTTGATTTTAACATAATAATTAAATGACAGTCACTTGCAACAGTTGAATTTTAACCTAAATTTGTTCCAATATTTACCAGGTGTACATATTGCAATCTTTGGGATAGATGACATGCTTAACATGCTAAACTACATGGATGGAGTTGAAGAATAAGATTCATATTGGGGGCAGAGCTGTGTACTCTGCTGTGGCTTCTTTTCATTTTTTTTTGGGGCCCAAACTATTGCAAGTTCAATATAGGTTGGATGAGCTAACCCTCGAAAACAGAAGTAACCAGTTAGATTAATCTTTTGACTTGTGATGGGTCCAAAATAATAAGCAAATTTTGTAGTTGACATTTAAAAAGAAAAGAAACCTAGACATCTGTGTTTTCTTTTTCCCCATCATTCAGTGAGAAAGGAATCCAAACAGCAATCTGCTCTACTCTCCAATTTCTCAAGCTATAATGCTGGTAATCCTCAACTTTGGTTCATCTAATTGATTTTCTAATTAGATGAAGTTGAAATCTTCTTGTGTTTCAAATTGTTTCAGTTAGAATTTGATATATCTACAGAATTATACACACACACACACACACAATATTATTTAAGAAAAGCAGCCTTTTTTGGTTGTGTGACAAATTTTCATAAATTCTAGAATCACCCTCCCATTTTAAAATCAAAATAAATACATTTGCACTTACAAAAAGCTCTCACCACTGTAAAAATCAAACCGAAAATACCTTCAATTTTCTTTTGTCATGCATTCATCGGTGCCATGAAGCTATTTATATACTATATATATAATATATATATAGATATATATATATATATACTATATTATATATATATTATATATATATATATTATGAGCATATGGAGGAACTTTGGTACCAAACAAAGTTTTTTGTGCTGATAGTGAGGTGCTCATTTTTATCTACTTATTCAAATGGGGGGACCACATTGACATGAGTTGGAGAGTGGATGGAGAATGTAACACCTCATACCAAACACAAAATTTATGCTTGTACCCATAGTTCCTACATTCTCTCTTCTCTCTCTCTCTTCTATATATATATATATAGATATATATTATATATATATATATACTATATATTACTATATATATATATATATATCACTGTGCGAACGAGCTACTCTTACTTTTGCCTGTAACCTAGTCTTATGAAACTGTATTTGATTTTTTGGACTAATTTTTAGCTTTTGAGAATTTTATTGTTTAAAGTTTTCTAATAAGTTTATAAAACAATTGATAAAATTTTCACCTTTCGTATGAATTTTTATATTTGGATACACTTAATACATATCTTTGAATGAAAAAGTGTACAGTTTAGTTTGAGGTTAGTTTTCCTCTTTTATTTTATTTTATTAAATGGCATGCATAATAAGGCGTTTATCTATCTTGGCTCCCTCAACATAAAGTTTCTTGCTCCATCACTCATTCAAATTAATAATTTTTTTACATATATTTTACAATCATTCCCAGTACTTTTCACTGAAAATCTTTATATAAGCAGGGCACTCAAAATCTTTATATAGGCAGGGGTATTAATCAACATGAAGAATATGGGAACAATTGCAGGGTCAACGGTCTCCATAGGTGTTGAAGGAAATGGAGGATAAGATAGGTTATACAGCATTTGGGGTTGTATGTATGAGAGGGAGAGAAGCAGATTGCCATTGCATTGTCATGCATGTCTGCTAACATATGGCTATATGTGCGTGCATGTGTGCTAGGTGGAAGAATCCATCCAGTTATGCTAACTCATAGATAGTGGACCCGATGCACCTAAATGGAGCAAAAAATATTGCTAAAGCTAAACACCAAAGTGATCCAAGGACCTCATTTTAATTTTTTTTGGTTGTTAGGGGCTCATAATTGCAGCATTAGTAATGATATAAGTAAAAGCGGCAGTGAAGTCTGTTCAAAATTAGGTCCTTTCACATGGTAAAGCCTGAAATGCTGCTGTTTGTCTTTTCATGCGCAAATATTTATCGGAAAGGATTACTCAAGTGTCTTAGGTTAGAATCAATGCACAATTAATTATATAAAAAGACTAAGTTATCCAATATGCATGATTACTCTTTTTTTGGGGGGCGGGGGTGTGGGGGGTTGTTATTAGGTTGGGTAATATTTGGGCAAGTGGAACTATTGTTCCATTTTGATACTAATTTTAAGTCATTGGGTACAATTGGATGACAATAAAGTGGTGGTAAAATTGTGGTATAATTGATAATTTAGTTAGATTTGGACTATTTTGAATAGTGTATAATAATGATGTGACATCTTATTAAAACATGTATTATTTTTGGGTTTATAAATAATCTTAAAAATTTAGTATTTTTTAATTATATTATGTATATGTTATAATTGTAATTAATATAACTTGCATCAATAATTTAAATAATAATCATAATTAAATACGTTATAACATTATAATTTTTATCTTATAAAGCACAATTAAGAAATATTTTATAATTAATTTATTTTGTTATTATTATAGTATGTTTAATAATTATTAGTTAATGTGTTTCTAATATATTTATTATGTTACTATAATAGGCAATAAATTAATTGTATAATATCTTTATTAACCTCATTATTATTACTTATTATTATATTATATTTAAATAAGCAAATATAATATAATATTATATGATTACTTAATATATTAACTATATATTTTATATCACTAATTAATATAGTATACATATAATATATATATTAATATATAAATTATAATATAAGTCTATATTAGTTTATGTAATTTAAAATTATAATTATTTAAATATGTTATTATATATATATTAATATAATTATTATATTATTATTATAAGTATTTATATTAAGCACTAATATACTAGTTAAGAATATTATATATCACTATATTTTTCTATATATATTGATATATTATATATTTATATATGAATATAATAGGTATTTTAAAATAATATATTGTTATATTTCATATTATAACATCATATATATTTGGTTGTTGTTACTCAAATTTTTCATAGTATTTTTAATACTTATTTTAAATAGTATATTTTTAATTTTCAATAAAATATTTTCATATATTGTTAATTATACTTTCTATATTGTTATATTAATTATCATGTATGTTTTATTATACTATCAATCTAAGATGTAAATTATTGATATTCGAAGCTACCTTAATTTAATATATATATTTATGATATCTATTATATAAATTCATATTAACATTATATTTGTTACTCCACGTAATGTACAAAATACTATAGCTAGCAATAATTTAATACAATTGAGATTAGATACTATATATATCCATTTAATATATTTATAATTTATTAAATAATTATGAATATAATTATACTGTATGTAGTTAATTGTATATATAATGTAAAAATATAGTAATAAATGATTACTTAATATATTAACTATATATTTTATATCACTAATTAATATAGTATACATATAATATATATATTAATATATAAATTATAATATAAGTCTATATTAGTTTATGTAATTTAAAATTATAATTATTTAAATATGTTATTATATATATATTAATATAATTATTATATTATTATTATAAGTATTTATATTAAGCACTAATATACTAGTTAAGAATATTATATATCACTATATTTTTCTATATATATTGATATATTATATATTTATATATGAATATAATAGGTATTTTAAAATAATATATTGTTATATTTCATATTATAACATCATATATATTTGGTTGTTGTTACTCAAATTTTTCATAGTATTTTTAATACTTATTTTAAATAGTATATTTTTAATTTTCAATAAAATATTTTCATATATTGTTAATTATACTTTCTATATTGTTATATTAATTATCATGTATGTTTTATTATACTATCAATCTAAGATGTAAATTATTGATATTCGAAGCTACCTTAATTTAATATATATATTTATGATATCTATTATATAAATTCATATTAACATTATATTTGTTACTCCACGTAATGTACAAAATACTATAGCTAGCAATAATTTAATACAATTGAGATTAGATACTATATATATCCATTTAATATATTTATAATTTATTAAATAATTATGAATATAATTATACTGTATGTAGTTAATTGTATATATAATGTAAAAATATAGTAATAAAAATTACTTATTGATATTATTCACATTAGCACTCTAATGTAATATATTATTATATTATTATTATAATTATTATATATCATTTTATATATTTATAATATAATTTGTATGTATTTGTTATTTAATATAATAAGGTCTCAAAAATATCCCATTTTTCTTCAAGTGGGACATTATTGTTCCGGTATGGAGAATGAGGCTAATTTTTGGCATTGCGATAAATTTTTTGTACATGAATGGAACAATTTTATCTCAAGTGGGGATATTGTCCCGCTGTTGTTCCGACAAACCAATAACACCAAAAGGTAATGTCATACTTCCATTACCCCAACCAATAACCCCAAAATTTAAAAATCTTTGTCACAATTCCCCGATGAATAACACAAAAAAGTATTGTCCCAAAAAGTATCCCCATAATCCTCAGATTACAAAGTCAGTTGCTTGATCCCTTCAATGCCTCTGGGACTACAAATCTTCACTCATCTTTTTCAGCAGCTTTGTTTTAAGACAAAGAACATACTTCTAATAATGTCAGCTCTTATATCTTATACATCCCTATGTTTTATGATGTGAAATTTATATACAGGTAGAAAGCATTAATGCCAGCTAATCGTCAAGTAGGAGCTCAACGATTAGACATACAAGGAATATGGCCATCATTCTACATTCTATGTATAGAAAAACTGCAGTCATTTCCATCTGCTTATCTTGTTAAGATAAGAAAATTAAACATACAATGAATATGCCCATCATTCTATATTTTACATATATAAATACTTTTTTTTATTATCTAGAAGGCCAATGTCAATAATTTTTATGGACAGCATTTGTCTGCTCCACTATTTTATCATTGATGAAAGATTTGGTTTAAAATCATGTTTCTGTAATTCTTCTCTGAATCAGTACCTTAATGTAGGTGACTTTGGGACTGTTATTGTTCACTCTGAAGCTGGAACAAGTGGGAGGAGCGCTAGCGCATCAACCTCTGATGCAAATGAAATGTCAACAGGCCCTGGTAATATCAGGGATTCTGTAGATGGAAGCACAAATAGCTGGTTAGTTTTAGTTTCCATCATTTTTCGGGTTCATTTTGTATTGACATGGTTTTATGCTCCCAGCCAATATGTAGACTACCTTTCTTTTGTTCTGATTCTTCTAAGACATTTCCATTACTCAGCTTCTTCTTCCCTCGTTTTCTCACAAGTACATTATAGGTTATGGTTCTTTTCTGAATGCTTGACATGGACCTGTAGGCTATACACTTTCAGACGGTCAATTGTTTTTCTGGGAGTTTTTGGTGTATGGGTAACCAAAATGATTGGATGAGTGGGATTCATTACTTAGACTGCAAGATATTATTCATTACATGGGTATATTTGTATTGAACTGATTTTTTTTAACTGATATGATGATTTTTGTGCTCTTCACTGTTTTGAAATGCAGTCTTTCATCTGCCTTTAGCCTAATTTTTCTACTACAATCAGGCATGGACATTGCATGGTAGTTTTAGCAATCTGCTTCCTCCATTCTATTAGAATAATTTTGGTCGTGATCTGATAATAATTTATGTTGTGATCTGATGGTACACATGCTAAGGACACTTTAGAAACTACTAAGGTCTTTTAAGAGAAAAATCTTTTCTTTTGGGTGCTTAATGACAGAAGACATTAACAGTTTCTGGGTGTACACCACATACTCCTGATAAGGTTTACGGGTACCATCTTTTGATTGTTTATAGTCTTCTTAGTCACAGATTAGTCAACATTGTTGTATAAAGTTCAGAAGATAGCCTTGCGTTAGTATAGAAAAGTACAACTAACATTCCTCTGGTGGTGAGGATTAAATTGTTCCCGTCTAGTGTCGTGCCACTTTTTGGTGTAACTAGATCATGCCTCTTGGTTCTTTTCACAAATTTTAGCCTGGCTATTGAATTATGATGAACCTTTTGGTTAGTACAAATCTTGGCTATTGTGGATCTACTTTCCTTTTCACTTGTCATATAGCGGTGTTTTCTGATAAATTCTGCAACTTAGATCAATCATTGTTCTCTTAATATCATCAATAATGTTTTCTGTTAGGGTTTTCTGTCAGGGTTGAGAGTGCAACTGGTACCGTTGTCAATAAACTAGACTCATTACAGAGACCAGGCGCTCAAACAACGAAGCAGTTGATGCCTTCTTCAAATGAATTTCCTCAACAAAAGCCAAGTGTAGATGGTGGCTCTCAGCTAGAGGGTCAGACCAAGAAGGCTACTGTTGGTGGATGGGCTAGAACTCTGAAGAGCCTAACCGTTGGCCGCAAAGCCTTAACAGTGCAAGATAAGGTATTTCTCGATAAACATCATTTGAAGTTACAACTCTTGCATATAGTTAAGTTAATGAAAGAACTTTGTTTTATTTGCTGTCTTTGTAGCTTTGGTCCATCTATGCTGCTGGTAATACTGTTCCCATACCGTTCCTTAAGGCAATTGACATTTCCCCGCTAGCTCTGGTCTCAGACAATATAGTTGGGGATAGTACATTAGGAACCAGTAACAATGCTGCGTTGGAAGCAGTTAAAGAGCTTTTCAGTGGTGATGGACAAACAAAGAAGGGACGTAGGGCACAAAATGAGGTATGTACTACTTTAATCTCTTTAGTTTTTCATGCATTCTTTTATATCTATTTGATTCTTTAGTTTTTCATGTCTTAAGTTGTAATCAGTTATCTTTCGCGGGTTGTCATTGCAGATGCCATTGCCTCCTGGGGTATATGAAAGATTGACTTCAAGTCCGACACTGATGAATTTAGCACAGGCTTTAGCTTACCACAAAGCGTAAGAATAGTTGATAATGCTTGCTCTCGCTAATTCACCGTTAGATTTTATTGTGGCTTTGAGTATTCTTAATGCTTTAATTTTCCCCTTTTGCCTTCTTTTCTCAATAGGTGTTATGAGGACATGCCTCTTCAAGAGCCTCAAGCAATGCAAGAGCAGCAAAGCATTCAAAACCTCTGTGATACCCTTCGAACTATTTTGCGTTTATAAGCACATGCTTTAGAAGCAATATCCGAAGGTAGATGAGGCACAGATCAGACTTTATCGTCAATCTGATACATCTAGAGTTAGCCACTGCTTTCTGTTGTTTCTACAGTAAATGCAAAAGCTTTATGTGCCGTCGTTCATCTCGAGACTAGCTGAGGTCTACTCTCATTTTACCTGTAAATTTGTAGTTGAAAGCACAGTGCCTTCATATTTGGTAATTAAATTGCTTTACTAATCTGGTATTATGTATTTAATTTGGTGTAATAGTAGTGTCCACCATTTGGATGACGAGCGTCTACTTTTAATTCTACTGTTATGTTCAACTCTAGCATAGAGGGGGTTCTGTACTATCGTACTCATGTTTATTCTCTTCTTATAGATTTTTATGAATATTGATTGATGATAATCTATATATCACATTCTCTATCCGTATTTGATAAAAATGAATTTGAGCTGGGGTTGGATTTGGGTACTATATCTTAGCAATTGCCAACCATGACGGATTACCTTGAAAGGCGAAGATTGCGCATGTGTGCGTATGAGTTAGCGAATAAGCCATGTATGATTGCATAACTAGATAATCTCACCAACTTCAACAAAAAAGGGATTATAGAAAAGAAAGGCGAAGACCATGATTAATGGTTTGATTGGTAAGGAGAGACCAGGCCATCGTATATCTAACACAAGGGAACAGGAAATAGTGAAAAGATGTTTCTTCTATTGTTAGACGGAAGTTTTGTTGCATCTATGAAAAGTTTCACTTCATTTGGTATTGTTTTTGATTGGGTTAGATGCAGCAACGCCTCACAGCAAGGATCACCGCGGTCTTTACTGTACATGCACTTTACTACGTCAATGTAATGGCAATGGCCATCATCCGCAGCTACTTCGAGTCATACCTATGACAGCACTTATAGGTGTATACAAGTGTAGTTGTTTATAAAAATGTACTATATAGTTATATATGTATCTGTTATATACTTATATATCTATAATGTATCTGTTACGTACTTATATTATGTTATATACAATATAATATAATAATTGATGAACAGGGCTGCAGTTATTTGTTTGTTATGCGATAAACTTTTTAATGCATTTTAGGAAGAATGAGATATCGTGTAGAGGAATATGAGCATTAATGCAAGCTCCCTTCGATTTATTTAACAAGTAAGATTCTTACCTTCCAATCGTTATACTGTTCGTGATAAATTTGAAATTATTAGTTTTATGAAGGCTTATAAAATTGAGACAAAAACAGTTTATTAGCAATATTGATACAGAGCTTTGCTAAGTTAATCTTATAACATTAATTGAGGTTGTTTCTCCCGTAAAATTCAATTATTTTTAGTAACAACTGATTTCAATAATATCGTGCACCTAAATTTTTTTTGACCCAGATAGGAGCAAAACTTAATTTGCCAAGGTAAAAAGTCAAAACAGGACAATCTACAAGCCCATGTAACATGCAAATTATTCCCAAGACAGGAAAGAAAATTTTCCTTTCAGCGGCTGGCTAGGATTTATCATGTTCTCCTCTTTTGCTGCTGTTTTCGCAACATTTGCTCCGCTCGTAGTTGAATCGATCCAAAATGTTAAAATGACCAGAAAACAAGACTATACATTACCATAAATAGCAAATATCTGTAATCTCATACAACATATCCTGTTGAAATAAACCGTCCGCAAATGTTTACAACGTTCTCCTAGTGGTATACTAGCATTCTAATTTTCCTCGTAATTTCAACAATATTTTTGCATGTTATTGCATACCAAAATTAATAGAGACATCTAAATATTGCATATTATTGCATACCAAAACGAATAGAGACATCTCTCGCTATAAGGTCTCCTTCCAGAATCGAACAGATCTATCATTCCCACATGAAATGAAACATGGTTCAGTTGGAGAGTGTTCGAGCCAGCGCGGGGGCCCTACATGATTTGAAGGCCACCTAGCAACTTTTTCAGCAGTGAGAGCATCCCAAACGACAACCTGTCGATAATCTTGTATCTTTAGTTATAACATGAAAATAAATCATAAGTTACAAAGAGGACCACATATTGTAGAAGATGAATCACGGACCTCATTGTTTGGTTCATCCACCGAGAGGATGAATTCCTCCGTATCATTGAAAACAGCCTGTGATCATAAAACAACCCCAATCAATTTGCTTACATCCCCATATATTTAAATATATAGCCACTTATTACCCGTACAAAAGCTTTATTAGCAATTTGACCCTCTGGCCGAAAATGGAGTTATCTTCTCGTTATTGGGTGTCACATAATGTCCTTTTAATGCAGAAGAATCTACTGATACTTTGGTATATTGCGGAGTGACCCCTTATTCTCTTTAGAGGTAACTCTGTTTGGATATTAGATGTCTAGGTACTAAAATATTTTTAAGAGTAGTAAGGCACAAAGCCCATATAGAAAAGAGGGTGCAGCTAACCTGTTTTCTATTATGCAAAAACAGTACATGATACTATGGTAGGATATTTGTCAAAGGGCCTAGGTAAAAAGAAAGAATTTTCTTTACGCATTCATTTGATTAAAACAAAAAAGTACACAGTTCATTATGCAACAGACCTCATTCTGCTTATGATTTGAAGAGTCCATAAAAGCCATAAAGTTAATTCAAAGCATTAAAAAACAGATGACAGAATCAAATTCAACCTGACAACGCGACTGAGTGTGAACTGCTCCCAGATATTGCTTGACAAGTCTTCCGGTGCCAACTTCCCACAACTTTGCGGTGGAATCCTTTCCGCATGAAAGAATGAACCTGTTGGTTTCATTTAAGATTCATTGAAGTTAACACAAGTAATACGAAACTACATATTTGTGAGGAAGATTGAACAACAGCTAATCAAAAATAAAAATAGAAATATCTACTGATTATAGATTGGACACGTCTAACAAATGGTTTTTATTTCCCTTCAGATTAAGGTTAAGCTCAATGGAAAGTCAGGTATGATTCAACCTCTTCCCTCTTTGCATAACAGCAAGAGGCTTACCAACGTGCATAGGAAAGCAAAAGCATACTGGCTATGTTGCATGGGTATGGCTATGAGTATTGGTACTGGTAGGGTATCGGTATCGGACAAGGAAAACTTGTACAATGTAGGGTGTGGGGGCACGGCTGTATAAATATTTATATACACGTATATTATATATTGGAATTAATAATTTATATGAGAAAGAAGGATGAGAATTAAAATTCTAGTAGCATTTTTATATTTCTTTTATTATGTGGATTATAAATTGGAAAATCACTAGTTTTTGAACTAGACATCCAAAAGACCCTTCAAAATCATAATTTGGAACCTGACCTATGTCTAGCGAATTTCAAGAAGTGGATGTGAAGTGCCGGATATATGTCCCAAAAATGCACAAGTGTCTTAAATTAAAGAATGTATTGTTTAATTGAGTGCATGTCCAAATAAATGTTTGCATATATGCAAGGAGAGTCCAAGGAGTTTGGGCACGGGTATGGGTACGTGTTGGGCATGACATCAGATTAGAAGTACCCAGGTAACATAGCATACAAGAAATCAAATCTTTATTTAATTTCATACCAACTGTCTACTGTTATGGATCAACAGATATGATATATAATACATCTGAAACCAGCTAATACCCATAACATTGGATACTAACAGCTAATACCCATAACATTCGATAATAACAGCTCATACCATAACATATGATAATAACAACCAGTACATGTTGATATTGGCCAAAGACCAATACAGAAATTTCAGATGTGGAGCATCAAAGCATTTGATAGTACTATTTGGAGAAAAAAGTTACAAAATGAATAAATCAAAATCTAGAAAGCTTATGAGTCATCAAAGCTTCCGAAACTCCTGATATCTACATCTGATGCTTACAATCCAGAACTGTTAAAATGCCTGAAACTTTCAAAACTCATAATATACAATTGTCAGCCAGGACCAATAACTATTTGAATCTTGACAATAAAAAATTCGTATGAATAAAAGAGGACATCCATTCGTATAGGTCTTATTAGTACTTCTATATATATTTGTTCCTAATAGAAAGTTGTAAGCTTAAAAAACATCAGTATAGGTGCAAGCAATGGAACATTCCATGGACATGTCAATGACGCCATCATCATTCAGCTCCATGTGTGAAGGTGAAACTACGTGCAAGGTAAAACAAAACCAAATTCATATTTAGGAGAGATTTTCAGCATCTAGAATGATTCCATGCCATTTACCTCTGATCCTTCGTAAAATTTGCACTAGTGGCCTCTGAAGGTCCATGTGCCCCACTGAACGATCTCACACACTTAGCACTGACTCCATCCCAAATGTGAACAGAGCCGTCCTTTGAGGCTGTAACATACATGCTTCCAGAAGAAGAATATCTCACCTGCAACAAAAACATAAAATAGTCAAATTATAACTACATTTGAATCAGCAGTCAGATGCATGGCACAATAGACCTAGTAGTACTGGTAACAAAATTTATCAGTACAATCCATAACGAAAAAAATAAAATACCTGGTTAATAGCAGCATTAATTTTTAATTCTTGAAAATTTGCTGACAAGTAACATTGGAATGTGTTGACATCATATAAATGAGGAACAGGATGATCCGTACCTGTCAATCATACGTTCCCATTAAGTACGAGTACAAGAAAAATCGTACACCAATTGATTGCTACGCATAAGACATTCATATTTCTACATTAAACAATTGTTGCATATTTTTTGAATGAATTAAAAGAGGAAGAGGGGGGCGCGGGTAGGGGCCGGGCCCAGCTATGTAAAAAATCTTGTTTTGACAGGCCATTCACTGGCATGTCATAGGTTCTTAATGCCAACCAAATGCTACACAAAATTGATTGCTTAGCCAAATTATGTTCATTTCATCATTATGTCCCTTGCATATATTGGCGTCCAACTGCCCTAGAAGTTTCTGCAGGACCAAGGCCCCAAGTTTCAGAAACCCATAAGAATTCGTAAATTTTAGTAGAATTAGGTGCAAGAAAATAGTGAAGGAAATTTTAGTGAATGGGCGCAGCAAAAATTGATCACTCAGCTTAAGAAGAATTTGTTTATTTCATTGTTCCTTCTCTTACAGATGTATTAAGATCAAACTACACAGAAGCTTCATGCCTCAAAAGCTTCCCAAACCATCGAGCCTAAATAAATTGTAGTAGATAGGGCTATCAAAGACAGTGATAATACAGAGACAAAATCTCAACTTAATACAAACACATACAAACGACTTTAATATTGAGAGAAGTAGACAGTGGAAACAAGATAACACCTACCTGCCAAAAGAAATTCTCCAGAAGGATGAAAAGATACTGACCTAACATTATGAGTATCCTGTACAAATCAAGAGTATACCTCATGAAAATCATAAGATTTTTCAAGGCTATAATATGCACTAATTTTCTCATTATTCTGAAATAAAAGGATAATTATGAGACTGCCAGAACCTGGATGACTCTGAAAGCTCTCCTTGCAACTGTTTTTGAAAAATCAAAAAATCTGCAAGCACATATAGAATGTAAATGTGATCAAATTTGTACTGATGCACTGTGCAAGTATAATCAATTATCAAGATATTTAATTTTCTCAAGAATGGTTTTATAGAAAATGCTGCAGTCAGTATCAAAAGCTCTAGTTGCTCTATTTAGTGATGGGAACAAAAAAAAAATTCTATAGGCATCATTAGTTTTTGTCCTTTGGTTCACCGTATGATTTTGCTCTTAGCTCTATACAGATATTGCTTTACTCAGGGAGTTGCTGCTAGCACCCAGTGTCATGTAAATTATAGGATTTAACCTAAGAAAATATGATGTACCCCATCAATGACATTTGAATAAACTGAAAATCATATAACAGCATATTCTTGGATATAGAAAGGCCAACATCAGCATGTAAGTCTAAAGGGATATGTATCTGCTATGAAGCACCGACACTCCAAATATGGTCCCGAGTCCGTCTCCGACGCGAACACGTGGTCAACGCCACCGACGCGCTGTCGACACGCCAATTTCTGCCGATTCGTTCTCGACACGCCGACACGCCGAGGATTACGAAGCGGTTATTGGGTTTGAAAACCCATTGTTTGTAAACCCGTTTTGAAATAAAACCTAAAAACAAAGACCCGATCCCTCTCTCTTCTCTCATCTGGCGGCTGCTTCTCTCTCTCCCCCTTTCTTCTCTCATTCTAGGGCATCAGCTGCTTCCCCCATCTCAACCGCGGCGGCAAGTCAAAGACCACCCAGAGGCGGCGAGTCGGCGTCCACCCAGAGGCATCGGCTGTTTGTAAGTTTTTTGATCTTTTTTCTTTATTTTCGGCTGCTTCTCTCTCGCTCCCTCTCTCTCTCCCACATCTCCGCTTCCCCAGGCCGCTTCTCCCATCTCAACCGCGGCGACGAGTCGGCGACCACCCAGAGGTGGGCAATGGTGAAAGGTGAGTTTTTGATCTTTTTTCTGTTTTCTTTTTTTTCTTTATTTTTCTGCTGTATTAATGGCGCCAGCTCATATTTTGAGTTCCTAAACAGAGAACTTCACATAAACGTTGTAAAGTACTCAGTTAGGGCTTTAGTGGAAAAAAAATCAAAATGTTTTGGGGTTTTCTGGAATTCCCAAAATTATTAGGGCTTTACTAAGAGTTTCTAATTTTTGGGAGGTTAAGTGCAAAATTGCCAAGCTTACTGGGGCTTTAGTGAAATGTATCCTTTCATTTAACGCATCCACATTAGGAATCTATAAAAAATATGAAAATGTAATAGGAATTTAATTCAATATTGATCTATATATAATAATATTAAAAAATCTAGTCGTGTCTTATTTTTTTGGGTTTTGTCGTGTCTGTGTCGCCGTGTCCGTGCTTCATAGTGTATCTGTTCTAATTTTTTGGAAAGCGCTAGGGGCTTCAGGCGTCGGACCAAGTGCGTAGCACATTAGGTGCCTAGCTAGATGCTGAAGCAGCACACATGCAGTTTTAGCATTAAAAGGGAAATGATTCTTTTTGAATATCCAAAATCATATTCTCGTTGTTTCTCAAGATAGGCTTGAATGAATAGTTTCAATCAGTCCATTTTGACTTGGCCCATTGTCTTCATCTGTTGCTATGATGCCTAAGAGCAACTCCAAGAGGCTCTCTATCCCATGTCCTAGCTCAAATTTAGGGAGTAGGAGCTGAATATTTGGCTCCAACAAGCTCCCTATATGCTATTCCAAATATAGGGTCCTTGATTTGGTATTCCAAATCAAAGACAAAAAGAGACACTCCCTATATCTGTAGTTCTTTGCAACGACTAAAAAATGTAACGGCTATATTTGCATTCAAGCCCCTCTCATTCTCCTTTCATCTATATATATTGCATCTTTGTATAGGATAAATTAGTTCATCTCATAATTATTTTGCACTTGGCATTCTACTATTTTTCTTTAAAGGTAAGTAAATTAGTTCATCTCTTAATTATTTTATTTCTCTCATATTTTATACTTACAACCGATTTATTAGTTTTCATTTCGTTTTAATTTTTTTTAAACTAATTATAGTGTTGAGAAATGCTCTTCTTCCATGAGAACATTGCTAAGAACATTGCGTATTCCTCGTCAGCTCCTTCTTCCATGAGGAGCGCAGCTATTTCTTTGTTATAAGACATAGATGATATTGGAAAAATGATGCTAACAATGAACACAATTTGAGTTGAGTGAAAAGTGGGAGTGCATATGATATTATTTATAGAGGTCATATAGCCGTTATGATATAACCGTTAAAATATAGTCGTTACAATATAGTCGTTGGAATATAGCCGTTATAATATAGCCGTTACAATTATTTATTACAAAAGGAGGTAAGTGAAAAATGTCCAAAACTATTTAGGGAGCCATTTGGAAAGCACTGTTAGAGCACTTGCTTCTTATTTGGCTCCCTATTTCCTACGATGGGATATTTGCTCCTCAAATATAGAGAAAAACTAAGATCATTGTTGGAGATGCTCTAAGAGAACAATATAATCCTTTTACGTGGTATAGCTCGCGTAAGCAAACAATGTTCCCTACGCACTCCCAATACCTAGGCAGGTGGCATAAGTACCACTTTGACCTAGGCGGGCACCTACAACTTTTTGAAACAATGATATATTCTTTCTTTCTGTTTTTTGAGGGAGTGGAGGCTACAAGGAGAGTTTTACTTTTATGGTAGCTAAATGCTTGGTAGCAAACATTCTGAAGGTCCAAGATGGTATCCGTGGATGTCAGCTATGTGAGGATTCTAGTTAATCTGCATCAGAGGATAACATTCCACAGATACTATTTGTTCCATCTTGCAGCAAAGGCATACATGCTAAGAATGGGTCTGTAATGGTCAACATTAGCATGTACCTCCATAGTAGTAGACAACATAATTGTAAGATAGTAGGATATATGCCTGGAGATATGAGTTGGGTATAACAGATGTTTGTAAAAGGGCTAGGACATCATAGTAGGATATGTGCCTAGATATATGAGTTGGGGATAACAGATGTTTGTAAAGGGCTGAGATAGCCTTTAATCTTTTGTCTAAGGATTCAGTATGCTTTATGCAAACCCCCCAAAAACACATTCTTACTAGTTGTAGGAGCAATTCCAGTACACTAGTTGTGAGGGCCTATGAAGCACGGACACGGCGACACGAACACGGACACAGACACGGTAAAACCCAAAAAAAAGAACACGGCGACACATCTAGATTTTTTAATATTATTATTATATATAGATCAATATTAAATTAAATTCCTATTACATTTTCATATTTTTTTGTAGATTCCTAATGTGGATGAGTTAAATGAAAGGGTAAATTTCACTAAAGCCCCAGTAAGCTTGGCAATTTTGCACTCAACCTCCCAAAAATTAGAAATTCCTAGTAAAGCCCTAATAATTTTGGGAATTCCAGAAAACCCCAAAACATTTTGATTTTTTCCCACTAAAGCCCTAATTGAATAATTTACAACATTTATGTGAAGTTCTCTGTTTGGGAACTCAAAATATGAGCTGGTGCCATTAATACATCAGAAAAAATGAAGAAAAAAACAGAAAAAGGTCAAAAACTCACCTTTTACTATTGCTCGCCTTTGGGTGGTCACTGGTCGCCGACTCGCCGCCATGGTTGAGATGGGGGAAGCAGCTTGGTAAGATAGGGGAAGCAACCTGGGGAAGCGGAGATGTGAGAGAGAGAAGAGAGGGAGAGAGAGAAGCCGAAAAAAAAGAAAAAAAAAGAAAAAAAAGGTCAAAAAACTTACAAACAGCCGTTGCCTCTAGGTGGTCGCCGACTCGCCGCCTCTGGGTGGTCTCCGACTCGCCGCCGCGGTTGAGATGGGGGAAGCAACCGATGCCCTAGGATGAGAGAAGAGAGAGGGAGAGAGAGAGAAGCAGCTGCCAGATGAGAGAAGAGAGAGGGATCAGGTCTTTGTTTTTAGATTTTATTTCAAAACGGGTTTACAAACAGTGGGTTTTCAAACCCAATAACCGCTTCGTAATCCTCAGCGTGTCGACGTGTCGAGAACGAATCGGCAGAAATTGGCGTGTCGACGGCATGTAGGTGGCGTTGACCCGTGTAGGGGGTGTTGACCGCGTGTCCGACGCGTGTCGAACGTGTGTCCGCGTCCGACACGCGTCGGAGACGGACTCGGGGCCATATTTGGAGTGTCGGTGCTTCATAGGTGAGGACAGGTATATGTGGGGGTATAAGGGGGTGTACCGTGTCCACAACTTCTAACACCTTAAAAAGGGTTTTAGAAACCTAAAGTAGGCTATGTGGGCAATTACTGCTACCAATTGATATTTGATACTGCCTTGTGCCAGCTGATTTTCTTTATATTGGATCAAGGATTTTGCAGTGCTTCTTAAATTGAATCACAATCTCATATATATTTTGTATTATATGATGACATCTGAGTAATATTCTTTCCTTTAGGGGACTCAATGCAAAAATTAAAAATTTAAAAAATACGTATATAATATGTTTTATGCAAACCTCCAAAAATACATTCTTACTAGTTGTAGGAGCAATTCCAGTACACTGATTGTGAGGATGCGTACATTGGGGGAATAAGGAGGTGTTCTATGCTCACAAAATTTTCTTACACCTTAAAAAAGGTTAAAAAACCTAAAGATAGGCTATGTGGGCACTTGCTGCTACCAATTGTTATCTGACACTGCCTTGTGACCCGCTGATTTTGTTTTATATTGGTTCAAGGGTTTTGCAGTGTTACTAAAATTGACTTACAGTCTCATATATGTTTTGTGTTATGCGAGGATACGTTAAGTTATATTCTTTTCTTTAGAGAACTCAATGCAAAAAAAAAAAAATAATAATAATAACAACAAAATAATAATAATAATAATACGAGTTAAGAACGAGGACATGACAATCTCATGGGTGATCAAAAAAATTGTGCAAATATCGTAAACTGGCAAAATTTGACATGATTGGTTCCAGGTAAGGAAACTAGGTTAAGTTAGAAACATAGCCTATAGTAAATCAACTCTTAGCAGTCTCGTTAAAAGAATTATCCCCATGAATCAAATATAGATAGCAGCATGTATTACAAATTAAAACCAGCTTCACCTTTGAGCTTTAGAAACCTCCAAGGACATTTCTCACAAGAAAAGAACGAAAAAGAGGAAACATTTATGTTATAATCTACTGTCTTAAATATGATCTAGTCATTATTGGGTTTCAGACCTGAACTGAACCATAAATACAAACCAATCTTTCAAAACAAGGGGATTTCACATATATCAATTTATGAGGATAAACCCTAAAAAATTCTTTTTGAAAGGATACATTGGCCAATAAATTGCCAAAAGCGGTATATCATTTTGTGGCAAGCCTTATGAAAGGACATATTGGCCAATATGTCGGTCATGTCAAGGATATATCGTCAAAAAATGGCCAAAGGGCAGTAAAGAACATTGAGACTAGATTGTTTGCAGCAAGACTTATAAAAGAATATATCGATGATCATATACGTCAGGATATTTAAAACAATAATATGAATACATGTCCAACATACCAAGCATATATGTCTTGGTATCTAACCAGCTTGAGACAATTAGATGTGGGTGATTAATTTTTCATGGTTTCTATTATTGGTAATTTATAATTTATATGCAATTGCATCCATATGATTTGTCATTACAAAAGTTGAAGCTATATTTGAGGTTATATCATGATACATAGTTACATACATATGCCAGCCCCACAAAAAAAAACTCACACATGCATATATATTTGTGCTTACATGTACATACATACACACATAGATAAATACAAACATACATAGTGTGTGTGTGTGTGCGTGCGCGCACGCATTATTGATTGTATATTCGTGTTTGTGGCTTATCCATAGCTAGACATTTTAAGATTATGTATCCTTATAATATGTCCATGTTGGAGTAGCATAGACAATATATTCATAGCAATAAAATTTCTAATACTTTTAGTATCTTCCAATTTTACGTCCCCTGTCTACCAATGCAGATAAATGAATATAAAAAAAAAATACCATGTACTACTATCAAATGTTCAAAGTGCTCAGCAGGTCAGGTACTAACATAAAGTTTTCTCGAGAAATATTATTCAAAATGGAAGGAAACATCATAAATAACATGCATATGGACAGTTTCAACACTAAAATTAATCCATCATGACTGTCATCAACAAGATAAAAAAATGAAAGGCTTATAATACTCTTCACCAAATCCGTTGTAAGCTATGGTTCATTGCTTGCAATAAACAAGAAAAAGAAAAAATGAATAGTAATCCAAATAATTTGGAATATGGATGCTGAGGTATAAAATCAGTCAAAAAAATAAACTATGTATTGCATTTCAATGGTGTAATAAATATACTTGAATGCATACTTTATAGTGTTGTCTTTGGCTCCAGATATCAACACAGTACTTTGAGGGTGAAAATCTAAATCATTGATAGGCTGCAAAACAGATAGAGATTAAATCAGAGATACTGAGCTATTTCAATGTTTGAACAATTACATGCTCATCACAAGTGATTGGTGTCAATCAATCTAAAATAATCCATAAGAATGAGATACAAACTCATCTTAATCGGAAACTTCAAAGTTCAAACAAAGCACAAAATATATGCAAATTGCATAATAGACCAATGACCACTGCATGCCACCCCTTCCTCAATGGTTGGGCACTACTGATAACAAAACGGAGCCATTTAAGGTTAGGTTAATACAAAAGAAGACAACTTTGGGAAAAATTGTAACCCGTATGATTAAAATTTCACTCATAAAACCTTCTTAAGGATGCTTCCATATTTCAAAGCAGGAAAGAAACCACATACAATTATACAAGCTCTATAGATGTGTACATACATGGAATGTATGCATTTATATATGCATGCATGAATAGACAGCACATGGTTAGTTCACCATTGGCTCCATAAGCCTTAACATAGGATTATATATAGAAATAGAATTCTATTGAATCTCTTCTCTCTCTGAGATCAAAGAAAGCTGTTTCAGTGGTTTACCATTTAACTTTTTAAATTTAGCCATGATTCGAATAACTATATGGATGGACCACACTGGATTGGACTTTGACCCTCCTAACCAGAAAATTGTAGGGGCAAATAGCCAGTCATGATATGACATTTACTAAGAACTATACTTTCCTTGTCAATTTCATTCTGAATGTGATTGATACAAATGTTACAACTCCCAAATGGAAAACAACGATCTGCACAGACATATTCAAATATTTTCATGTGGGTAAGATTTTGCACCTTGTACCCAAGAAAGGCAAGGACGAAGTTGAGTGGCAGGCATCAGCATCATGCCAAAGGTTCCCTTTGCTTATCTTATATTTCTGTGGGGGTTCTTATATCTGAACTAGGAGTAAATTTGGGGGGGAGAGATGATACTGACTTCCAATGAAACCTCTTCTCTGACAAAGAACAAGATAAAAATGGATTAAAACATTATCCCTAATACACAGATGGTTTAGATAGTTAAAGTGCTTAGAAGGTAACTTGGGTTTTTGACCATTTATAAGAACAGAAGGGCCAATCTAATGGGATAATAGTTTGGACAGTCAAAGAGTGATGAAGAAGTGGAAGGAGGTCTTGTTCATTTATATCATCATGTGATGCAAGTAGTATTGCAAATTAGTTATCAGTGATGACACTATTTAGTTACAATATCAAATTTAAGTACTTCCAAATTGAAATTGGAGAGAGATATTCTTGATGTTTATTCACTATCCTAATTACAATTATAAATAACATGAGATGAGAAACCACACATTAAGATACTTATGCGATATTTGCTAGATCATAACACAGAAATAGCCCCGCTTTGATGGGAAAATGTGTAGAGAGGGTTCAAGACGATGATGGGTCAACCTCCATCTTTTTTCCTTCTGCCACGTATGAAATGTAATATTCATTACATGTTAGAGTGAGCTTCATAAAAAAATAAACCATAATAGCAGGGTTTTAATGATTATCACCAAAAAGCACATTGTTTGCAAACTTGTATCTATAGGTTACAGCAGCATTTCAACACAAAAATATACTATATAACCAGATTTCTTGAATGACAAAAGACATATAAACCTTAGGTCATTTTGAACTTGAGGGAATCAATCAATAAACCTTCAAAAACAAGCGTTCTAACACAAATTACAACAGTTCATGGACAACTTTCAAACAGTGACTGTTTTTCTCATTGTTTATAGGTCAACTATAACTGTCACAAAACTACATCCATTCCTTTGCTAATTAAGTTGTACCAGCATAATTAATTTGGTAGATGAATTGATACTGAAAGTATCAATTCATCTGCCAAATTTCTTGTGGCAATGATTTCATCTGGACCAGGCAGTTCGGTTACCTGCAAATGATCATAGAAAGTACGGATAACAGGCCGCACAGGCCCTTCTCTTGCATCTCCAAGCATCATTTGCTTAATCTTTGAAACCTGCAAGTGTAGTGAACATATAAAGAAGTAAATTACCAGGAAACAACAAGAAAACAATCCAGTAAAAAATGGACAACCTCAAAGAGCTTAATTGATGTGTCTGAGCTCCCAGTTGCAATGAAACGACCATCAGCACTAAATCTCGCACACCTGGCAGCGTTCTAAAAACGAAGAGTCATTACAAGAAGAAATTTATTCTTTGACTAGGTTTGCAAATCTATAAACTTGGGACAAATGAAACAAGTTCTGGGGTGAAGATCTAGTATAAAAAAGGGATTACTTCAGAGGTGCAGATCTAGTAGACAGAACTTCAGTAACATAAAGCTTAGTAGAAAAACCACTGGTCTAAAATGAATGAAGTGCCATCAACAAATAATACAATATATAAAACTTATTCTTGCACGCATTCTTTAACCTGCCAGTTTTATTGTTCAAAAAGTCTAGTGTAAATCAAATTTCATCGAGATTTTCAGAATAAGATACTCTATTTTTTTGCTTAACAACAGAGAAAAATTATAATCAGCTCATCAGATATGATGTTAATGAATACTATCAAGATAAGACAAAAAGTCAATCCAAAACGAAGATGATTACCAAAAACCATAGGCTGAGATTAAAAGTCTGCATGGTTTCAAGATTGTTTCAACTAGAAGCACAAGTTTCATATCCATTCCATATGAAGTTCCACTGTTATATATCAAGGAAGTTAGGTCTCGATTAAGCTATCAGGCTTGGCTTATGCCACTTGTTACAAACATATGAGGTCATAGGTATGAGAGAATCATGCGTGACCTTTAGTGAAATATTTGCAGACCCCGCCTATGAAAAGCCAGTAATAAGACCTCAAGGGCATGAACAATAAATGTATATGAACAAGTAGCTTTCATGGACAACCTACAACAGATATTATATGAGTAGAACTAAACAGAATGTTTCTTTCTTAGGTCACAGTTGTCCATGTCGAATACTAGGCACCAGATGGACATTCTTAGGGATCAAATAAACAATACTAAAAAATGTACCGTGTTTCTAAAGAGAATATAAAGTGTATTCTATGCACGAAGGACTGCATCTTATGCAGGAATATACTGTTGGATACACAGGCTTACATCATTTATTCCACCAATGAAAGAAAATTGAGTACAACTCTTAGGACGTGAGGTACATATAAAAATTAACCTTATGGAATTGTAGTATTTACTTATCAGACGAATTAATAACGGTGATAACTATCCAAATTGAAATTTTGATTAATATAACGACGAAGGCTACTCAGGGCTCATACGGATGCTTTAAAATTTCTTCTGAAGATTGATTTAAAAACTTTAGTTGAATAAAGCAGGAAGCTCACCAAAATAAATGGAACAACATTTGTCAGACATTGCTATCAATTATCAATAGATATAGAGAAAGTGCGCATGGGTGGTTTTCTCTATGTAAATATCATGACAGAGGTTTAAGTGTAGAAACAGAATGATAAATGTCAGCCTTATTATCCATCTCGTGAACTGCAGAAACTACACACAGTGATGCATTTGACCTTTTCATGATTTACAGATTTACCTTGTGAAAATCAAGAAATTATTCTTGATTTTGGGACTCTGCCAATATCATCCTAGAGCAGTAGATGATACTCTCCTAATAACAGGATATTAATAGAATACCTTGTGCTCAGAGACATGTCTAGTCTCATGCTTCGGAAAGGTCTTTGATGAACCCTTTGTGTCCTGTACGGCACTGATTTGCAGATACCGAACAAAAGAAGAGGTATTTAGATACAAAAGCTTAATCTAGACAACATACAATATTAATTGCTGTCAGGTAAATAAATTATCATTCACCTGAAGTCTATGGCATTTGCAGGAGGAGGAATTGAAGATAAACCTGCAGCACAATCTACTGAAGCAGCCATCGAAATCCCCTTGATCATCTCATCTTTCTCCACTGCAAGACCCTGTATACCACTCAAATCAAAAAAAAATTCAAAATCCAATAAACTGGGCACTAAACTGATATTAAAAAAATTATCAAAACTTTTAGAAGTAAACCTTGGCAACAAGTTCAAGAAGCCTATTGGGAGGCGCTTCGGTGCCCAACGGCGTCATCGTTGCCGTAGCAACAGCAGCAGCAGCCTGCAACAGGGAAAATTCAACCAATAAATGAAAAATTGACATCAAAATTAGGGGGAAAAAGAGAAAAAGGGAAAATTATTTGCCTGACTGAGATTCTGATCGCGAAGATGAGCGATGATCAGCGAATTTACTTGTCGAAGGAGCTTCGCTTCTTGAAGAGTCTGCTCCAAATTCGGCTCCATTGAAGAAGAAAATTGAGATTTTGATTGATGCCCAGTTCGTGTAGAAGCTCAATGTTTTGAAATCTAAGATCAAAATTCAATCTTTAGTCATTATGAAGAAGCTTGGGATTAGGGTTTTGGCTAGGAATTAGCCCGCCTTCAAATTCTCAAAACCTAGTCATTGCTAGTGTCTGAAACGGATAAACCCCTCCAGGGAGGCAGTGGAACCCAGCTCACCCGATAACCCGACACAAACCCGACCCGAAAATAATAAATCATTATGAAGAAGCTAAAAGTTTTCTTTTTCATTTTTTTTTTTTTTTGGTGGGGGGGGGGGGGGGGGGGGCTAGATGCTAAAGAGCAGTGATAACTAAGGCTGGTGATTCATCAAGGGCGCCCACATTTTTCTCTCTTGTAGTACAAGAGTAATGTAAAAAAGTGTAGTATAGTTATCATTATTCTATAAGAAAATGGGTCAAACTTCATAGTGTTTCGGTAAAATTTTCCCAAATTATTGCTTGTATTTAGGCAAGGATAAAACACTTTTCTCCATGCTAAACACCTTCTGTAAATCTCTATCAGACAAATAACTAAAATGAATAAATTACCATAGACCCTCACAAATGAGATGCTCATACATCCCAAAGGACTAGAATTGACAAAATATATAGTTCAGCGATTGTTGAAGTGCTAGGATGCAACATGATACTGACATCAACTGAAAATTTCTATGACAATGATTATTCTGAATGACACTTAAACCTGTTAAGATGAGAATTAGCCGGTTCGACTGTTGAAGCCTTCTATCAGACATTGGATCTCCCAAAAGCTCTTTGATCACGTTCCTCTCTACTTCATCCATATATGGAAATAGATTAAAGGGTTAATTGCGAATAGACCCCCTTAGTTAGTTCTATTTGTGGGGAACAGACTCCGTTGCAGCGTTGGCCTAGGGGTGAACACACCCCCCTAGTGAACATTTTCGACTCTTTTAAGGATGACAAAATATTTAACAATCGAGGGTCTATCCTCACCAATAAAATTGTAAGAGGTCTACCCGCTTGCCCAAACTTTTCTAATGATTTAAAGAGTCAAAAAAATTCATTCAGGGATCTATTCGTAAAAATAATACTATAGAAGGTCCGTTCACAATTGGGCGATGATACAAGGGGTCTGCTCACGATGAACCCTATATTAAAAGTCTTAAGACTTTTAATATAGGGTTCATCGTGAGCAGACCCCTTGTATCATCTATATATATATATATTCATTACGCAAAAATAGAAAAGATGAACTAAGACTTTTAATATAGGGTTCATCGTGAGCAGACCCCTTGTATCATCTATATATATATATATTCATTACGCAAAAATAGAAAAGATGAACTAAGACTTTTAATATAGGGTTCATCGTGAGCAGACCCCTTGTATCATCTATATATATATATATTCATTACGCAAAAATAGAAAAGATGAACTAAGACTTTTAATATAGGGTTCATCGTGAGCAGACCCCTTGTATCATCTATATATATATATATTCATTACGCAAAAATAGAAAAGATGAACTAAGACTTTTAATATAGGGTTCATCGTGAGCAGACCCCTTGTATCATCTATATATATATATATTCATTACGCAAAAATAGAAAAGATGAACTAAGACTTTTAATATAGGGTTCATCGTGAGCAGACCCCTTGTATCATCTATATATATATATATTCATTACGCAAAAATAGAAAAGATGAACTAAGACTTTTAATATAGGGTTCATCGTGAGCAGACCCCTTGTATCATCTATATATATATATATTCATTACGCAAAAATAGAAAAGATGAACTAAGACTTTTAATATAGGGTTCATCGTGAGCAGACCCCTTGTATCATCTATATATATATATATTCATTACGCAAAAATAGAAAAGATGAACTAAGACTTTTAATATAGGGTTCATCGTGAGCAGACCCCTTGTATCATCTATATATATATATATTCATTACGCAAAAATAGAAAAGATGAACTAAGACTTTTAATATAGGGTTCATCGTGAGCAGACCCCTTGTATCATCTATATATATATATATTCATTACGCAAAAATAGAAAAGATGAACTAAGACTTTTAATATAGGGTTCATCGTGAGCAGACCCCTTGTATCATCTATATATATATATATTCATTACGCAAAAATAGAAAAGATGAACTAAGACTTTTAATATAGGGTTCATCGTGAGCAGACCCCTTGTATCATCTATATATATATATATTCATTACGCAAAAATAGAAAAGATGAACTAAGACTTTTAATATAGGGTTCATCGTGAGCAGACCCCTTGTATCATCTATATATATATATATTCATTACGCAAAAATAGAAAAGATGAACCGTTTTAGTCATTACGACTACTTCAAGTTCGCTCTTGAAGACTCTGGTGTAGCGTTATCTAACCATCTCTCTTTTTTACTTTGCTATTCATATTTTATATGACAATGTTTGTGTCCTCTAATTTTTTTTTTTTTTTTTTTTTTTTAAAAATATTTCCCCC